GCAGTGCCACGACAACATTGCCACGTAAGCAACAGTGCCGCGTCACAGTGCCACGTCAGCAGTGCCCCGCCACCATGACGGGCGCAGCTCTGGGCATGCCAGGCCAACTGGCCAACGAGTCTTTTGCCGACTACAAGCAGCGGTTCCAGGCTCAGCTCGCTCTGATCGAGGCTGAGGAACAGCGCCAGCTGGCAGCCCAGGCTGCCCGCCTACAGGCTGAAGCAGCGGCAACAGCTGAGAAGCAGCGGCTACAGGCTGAAGCAGACGCAGATACCCAGGCTCGCCGCAAGGAGGCCCAGGATCTACTGCAACGGCATGAAGCCGCCAGCATCGAAAGACAAGTTCTGGCACTTTGAACCGTCCAACGGCGACGACGCGACACCGGAAGAGCAGCATAAGGAGGTCCTCTCCAAACTCATGACACTGTTGTTGTACGCTTGCAACTACCAACAGCCCGAGTTAGAGAGACAGAACCAGGAACTGCAGCAACAGTACCAGGATCTGAAGACACAGCACCAGGAGTTGGCGAACCTCCGCCGGATGGTGCACAGCCACGAGGATGCTACACGGGCACTCAATTCCCGTGTACTGGACCTGGAGCAAGTTGTACCAGGACCAGATGCTGGTGAGTCCAGCAGTCCACCCTCTAACCGCCAACTGGAGCAACGCGTCGACCATGTCGTCGCAATGCTCGACGACATCAGCACCTTCGCTGCGCCGACCACCATCAGCAATCAGTTGGAGACTTTGAAGACTGAGGTCCAGCAACTGCAGTCGACGAACACGGATGGCAACAATCCAAAGCAATACAAGATGCCAACCTTTCAACTGGAGAAGTTCGATGACTACACACATCAGGACCCGGTGCTCCGGTGGAAAGCTTTCACGACGCAACTTTCGATTCTGCCTGTCGCCAAGCACACGTACATCGGCGCCCTGTTCATGAACTCAAAGGGCGGATGCCAAATCTGGTTAACCCACCTGGCAGCCACCCACGGCGTCGACGTCGCAGATCTGAGAGACAAGATCACATGGGAAGAGTTAACACGGCTGTCGAAGAAGCGGTTCATCATCGAGATGCACCATCACTTGCCATCAACCGTCTCTTCACCATGACTCAAGGCAACACGGCAACACGTGACTGGCTCACGGAATGGCAGAAGATCGCGGCAACGCCCGATCTTGACTTACCATTTCCGCATCTGCGCCGTGAGTTCTACAACAGGTCATGCGCTGCATTGAGCCAGGCGCTTGGTGATCGCGAGCAGTATGCAACTTTCACCGAGATCATTGACAAGGCGAGAGAGATCATCAAGACCAACAGGGCGGTTGCACACGAGAGGTCAGCGTGGCAGCCAACCTATGTGGAGAAGGTGAGAACTGGTTCGCGACAGCAGCAATTCGCTGCAGTCCAATCGGACAACACTGTGGAAGACCCGACAGCCACCCAAGCGTCACGTGAGGGAGATCAGGTGGCTGCTGTCCAGCCGCGAAGCAACAACAAACCCCGAGTGAACGGTAAGGCGAAACCAGTATCGCAGGCCGAAAACGGACAGCCAGCATCACCATGGGTCAAGTTCAAGTTGACCGAGGCCGAGTACAAATACCGCAACCATTACGGCTGCCGTTACTGGTGCAACAACACCAAGCACAAGACCTCCATTTGCCAGGATCAGGGCAAGTGTGCGGCCTCGTCTTAACTCGGGAAACTGAGTTTCACGGGAGGTGAGGCGACTCCACCCCCCACTCCGCCAGATTCGGCCGCCTTGCTAGCGGCCTCCTACACATCTGGGGAGGATGCGAATGTCGTAAGTTCTCGGTATGCTTACGAGGACTATGTTGTCCACTTGGTCCCACCGCTGGACCAACCGCTCCACGTGCAACAATCTACCGCATGCACGGTTTCATCACCATCGGCAACCGATTCGGCAGCTTCGCCGCCATCTACCGCCGGGGATTCAACGTCATGGTCAAGACTTGAAGAGCTCGACCCGTTGACATTTGCGGACTTCCAATGGATGATCCTTCCCCGGTACGGTCGATTCCCGAAACCGCATTGCAACGTGCTCATGGCACAATTGCGGGATTACTTGCACACTGTAGTACCGACTCCGTTGATGGACGCCTGTTGACCTTCACGCCTCCATTGCGAAGATCGACTGCGAGTTCAAGACGCAACGGTACGACGACATCGACGCACCATTGCTATATGTACGCATTCAGATCAGAGAGGCGACCTGCAGCGCTTTGATCGATTGTGGAGCATCTCGCAACTACATGAGTCAGGACTTCATGGTACGCGTCGGGCTTGGCCCACGAGTCCGAAGGAAGTCCCAGCCCACGCAAGTAACGTTGGCGGACGGTCACACGCACAAGTCAATCGACCGGTGCATTGATGACGTCCCAGTGTACTTTGCCCCTCACGCAAGTGAGGCGGTGTCCTTTGACATTCTGGACACCAAATTCGACATGATCTTGGGCATGTCATGGCTGCGAAGCGAGGATCCCCCGGTGAACTTCTACCGCCGCACCGTTCACATTCGTGATCGGAACGGAGTACTAGTCCCATGCACGGTAGC